CTCTCTCTCTCTCTCTCTTGCCTCTCCCGTGAAACTTTTCCTCCATCGTGAGAACGTATGCCGGAACACAAAGGATTTCTTTGCGTAGGAAGGCGAGAAAAAGACACGGAACCTGCTGAGAGTTAGTCGTTGGACGGAGATAAGCGGGCGACCATAAAGAAGATAAAGATTGTTTGTTTGGTCTAGCCGCCGACGAGCTGCCGTGGGACAACGCGTCCGTCTTTTATTCCTATTTTCCCTTTTTTCTTCGTCATTCTACTCCAGTCGCTCTCAAGCCTCCTCCTCTTCCTGTTCCTCTTCCTTTAACTCTTATTCGAACGGCTAACCGCAAGATTCCGGTGGAACGGAAACGGACAAATTTACCGGATGCGTGCACGCGCGTTCATCTGGCGTGTAGGATCGAAACGTCTCTGTATTTAATCTTTGCGAATCTTGTAAATAAGTTATTTACAAAAAAATAAGTTATTTACAAAAAAATATAAATCATAATAATGAAACATTAATTTTGATATTTGACAGGATACGTTATCTCAAATATATATTTTTACTTCCAATAATCGATTTAAAAGAAAAATCTTTTATTTATATAAGTAATTTGAAATATTTTTTATATTGATAGATATATTTACGTATTATTTATTTATACCGACATGTATAATTATTACTCTTTTTTTTAATATAAGAATAATATTTGAAAAGAAGAAACACTTGGATACTTTCTATATATTTACTATAATTGCTCTTAGATTTTTTTATATTTCTTAAATTATTCTTTGTGTATTACAATGTGTATTTAACACTCGTCAAAATTCCCAACGAAGTATGCAGTTACTTTAAGAAAAAAGAGAATAAATTGAAATCTAAATATGAAAAAAAAAAGAATGATGGAGAAAGAAAGATAAAAAACAGGGGAGTTGGTTTCTCTTCTGAATTTTTGTCATATGTGTGCTCGACATGCACGAACACATGTTCACATTCGTGAACGTAGCAATGTGAATTCAATTTTTACGTTACAAAAGAATCGCAGCAAAGGGGTCGACAGGGAAGGTAGGATGAGGAAGGGAAAGCTTTCGAGAAAAACCCATTCGCACAAATTGGATGGTCTCCTCTTGCCTCGGCCATCGGAGTGAGCCTCGCAATTAAAAAGTTTTGCACGGTAAAAAAAAAACTCACGATTCGTAGGTAGTGTAAATGTGATGCAGTTTCGCGGGATTTTTCCCTCCCTATTCGGAAATCGGAATGGTCGTGCGTGAAAAAATCGCTCGCACTCGATTGTCATGGAAGATAGAAGTTCAATCGATTCGCATAGAGAAGAATGGAAGA